TTGAAGGATTTCTAGCAGAGAGGGGAGGTGATCAAAGTGGAAAGGGTTTCTCTGGCCACTTTGCTAGAGAGAATAGACTGCAAGAGGCAAGGACAGAGGCAGGGAGGCCCATGGAGATGCTATTGCTACCGTCCAGGCAGGAGAGGTTGGGGCAGGGCTGGGTGTGGTGGTAAAAAGCCCTACCTCATGTCCTGGAATGTAGTTTGCAGGTGGGGATGGCAGGCCATGCAGATGAACTGGAAAGAGGCTGAGAGGTGTCAAATGTGACCTCTGAAGGAAGGTAACCCGAGCAACTGGAAGGACGTGGCCGTGAACTGAGTTGGGAGAAACATGGGAGCAGCGGGGCCCTAGGGGGCCATCCGAGGCGTGTATGGCACAGGCAGTGTCTAGGGTGTTGGTGAGCAGCTGATAGTAAGGGGAGAGGTCTGGCTGGACATGTAAAAGTGGGAGTGGCCAGTGTGCAGCAGTGACAAGGAGCAGGCGGTGGGGGGGCAGCCCAGGGCACGCCAAGCTGAAGAGGTGACGGGAGGAGGACGAAGTAGCCCTGGAGGAGCCCACGGAGGTGCCCTGGAGGTGGGTCGAGGTGTCGCGAAGCTGCTCTGCAGGGCCAGCCATGTCTGCACCTCCCTCCTCTGTCCTGGAAAGCGCCCTGTTCCTGGCAGGAGTCGGGGCTTCCTGATGGTGGAGGGAGGCGGTTGGGAGGTGAGAGGAGCAGGCCAGCCGCACTTCACAGGCAGGCTCTTGGCCTGTCTTGAGACGGGTGTAGCTTTCCTAGGAAATGGCCTCTGGTCTCCTCTGTCAGCCTCATTCATTCGCTCAGTTCTGGCGAACTCCCTTCATGAGGATCCCTGAGTATCAGGACCCTTAGACGTCACGCAGGGTTCTTACTGGGGACATGCTGCTAGCTCCACTTTGTACCCAGGGAACTTGAGATGAACTGACTTGCCCCAAGTTGTACAACTAGAAGCTCACATTCGGTCTTTACTCCAAAGCCCATAACCTCTGCCCATGCATCGATCTCTCTTTTCTATTTGCTCAGCCAGTGTTTGTGGGAAATGCCCCATGCCCATGCCAGGCCAGGCACCAAATGCCAGTGGACAAGAGAGGCTCCGGTTGCCTTGTCCTCATCCACACTTCAGCTTCTTTGAAGACTCCTGGATGACCCAACCCAAACTCCCAGGTCCCAAGCCGGCCTGCGGGAGTCTTCTCCCAGCCCCCATCCTGATCCTCACCTGGAGGAAGCCTAATGAACATTCTCCTGCTTGTGGTGTCCTGGGATTTTGGAGGGGGACATTTCCAGCTGAGCATGGTGCATGAGACATTGTGAAGACCAGTGCACAGAGCGGGGCTGAACCTGCCCTGTGTGTGAGCCGTCAGCCCCGAATGGCTTTGCTATCTTATGCTTGTTCTGCTGAAGACAGTTTAGGAGGAGGTGGGGGAAGGAGGCCAGGTGAGATGTTCTGGATTCCAGCGATTCAAGTCAGCACTAGTGAGGTTGTGAGTTGCCACATGGAGCTGGGGTGCCCGAGGGGAGAGGCCCTCCTCTGCTGAAATGAGAGTGTGTGAGGGAGGAGAGGCATTCTCCTGTCCCCCGTCTGGAAGGCTTAGGGATGCAGAGATGCTGGCCTTGAGCACTTCTTATCTGTCCACAACTTCCCACCTCAAAGAACACAGACACACACACACACACACACACACACACACAGAGTTGTACCTCTACTTCTCATTCAAGAAGTTCTTGTAGAGAAAAGACATAGTGGAAAGTTAGGTAGAAACCACTGGAAAGGTCTCCTCTCTTCTCTCCCCCCGCCCCCTGTTTCTCTCTCTCAACAAACAAACAAACAAGCAAAAAACGCTGTAAAGACTGTGACATCTTCATTTATTTTTTAATGTGATTTTAAAACATATCCTCAAACTCAAAATCTGGTTATGATAAAAGGCCAAACACAAATGGGAGTGATCTGGAACTTTCTCTTTTTAAGGACATTCAAGGGGATGTGTGTGTGTGTGTGTAGAAGAGACCGATGGGTTCTGTTCACTTTCAATTTGACTCATGTCTAAGGTCACATATGTCACTCTGCTCTCATCAGGTGAAGCAAATCATGAGCTTCAGAGGACAAAGCGTTTGTGAGCCTCCAGACCAGGGCTTCTCTTTGTAGGTGCGGCCACCTATGGCTTCATGACCCTGACAAGTTCACAGCTTTTGGGAGCCTCAGTTTCCTTATCTAGCAAATGAGTATGAGAAATCCTGCCAGACAAGGTTGCTGAGAGAATTAAATAATAGAGTAAGGACAACAGTAGGCAGATGGTAATGGTCGTTCCTCACCACTTATTAGAGAGAGAGAGAGAGAGAGAGAGGGAGAGAAAAGAAAGATGGAAGGAAGGAAGGATGGAAGGAAGGAAGGATGGAAGGAAGGAAGGATGGAAGGAAGGAAGGGTTAGCTCCTAGAGTTTTTATTAGGAAATTCTTTACCTCCCTGCACGGTCCAGTGCCAGGGACTTCAAGTGGTCACTTGTATTGAACACTGCCACACGACTGATGGGGCAGTAATAGTTGCTTTAGACATCAACCAGTGTGTCTTCCAGCCACCCTTAAATTTGGGTCTCATTAACCCATCGTCCTGATATGCTGATTTGTGATTAGAGTGTTAATTAATTGGCCCACAGCCCGGTTAGCAAAAGACAGAGGACAACCTCTAGCCCAGGTTTGGCTGACTACCGTACCAGAGGGCAGAACTCCTCCCAGTCAGCCCATGGCTACAAGCCATGGGTGAACACAACCAGTAGCCTCATGGGCTGGGGCAGATCTATAAGAGACTTCAGACTGGCTCTCCAACGTGACACCTACCCAGACCAGCCTGTTACTATTTAGTGACCCCTGGAAGAGATCACAGTCTTTTCCCATCAGGGGTGGGTTGAACTGAATTGTAGGAATCGAGTAGGGAGCCCCAGAGCTGAGAACATGTAACACTTCAAAAGGAAACAGCTCTCCTTGTGGTGGCTAGAAGGTTTGGAGGGAAGCTTGGGGTTCAGTTCAACTCTCCCGGAGCTGGTGGCAAGGTTCACAGGTCAGACCTTGGGCTCCATCTGACAATGACATCATAATCTTGGCGATCTGGAAATGTCATGAAGATGAATTTTTTTTTTCTATTTTCTTTGCTACTATTTTCTGCTTCTAGAAGAATTCCAAGCATATAGTAGATATTATAAGAGGGAATGAGTGGATTTAATTGTAATCTCAGGGCATTTGCTCTAACAGCTTCCTCTGTTTCAAATATACTTATCCTGGAGAGTCACGTGGCTCAATTCTTCCAGTTAGGTCCAGTCTCAAAAGTCACCTACAGAGAGGTCACTTCTGACCAGCCCACCTAAATCTCCTGTTCTCTTTTGCTCTCACCCACTCTTGCTGTGCTTTTCCTAACTCTTGGGGGATGATGACTCTATCACCACTCTCCCCACAGCCAGTTCCACGAGAGCAAGCATCCATCTTTTGTGCTTTGCACATGTCAAGCACCTCGCCTGGTGGGAGTCTGAGCTTCTTAAATTGTGTTGAATGAGCAAGTGAGTGAGTGAGCGAGTGGATGGATGGATGCCTAACGCAGGGAAGAGCGTGGCGCAGAGCCCCACATGCAGCAGGTGAGAGACACACACGTCAGTTTCATGGTGTTGGTGGTGACAGTCAATGCCTTTGTGAGGCCATTCTCTGTGGGTGCTCTGGTGGATGGTGACTATAAGGGGCTCTGCTTGTCCCCCACTTGCCCTCCCTCCCCACTCCATCACGGGATGCTAAAGAGCAGCGTTCCTTAGTTTTTGTTTCTGAACCAACTCTGGCTCTTCCCTGTCCCTCTTTGGTGGAATGGTGACAGGGCGTTGGGGAAGTCTATGCTTTCTCCTTCACTCCTAACACACTTTCAGATCCTTCCTACTAATGTGTAAATGGCGCACAGCAACCTCCTCCATGTATCCCGTCCCACTCCAACCACCCAGCTTTCCCAGCTTCTGGAATGTTCATATCTTTTTGATGTCATCCGTGCTGTCAGATGACTAAAATGCCTCCACTCTGTCCCCTTTCATTCCCAAAGTTTTGTCCAAAACCCAGTCCTAGTATCCCCTCCTCTGAGATAGTCAACCCCAGATTTTTCAGCAGTTTCTATCTCTCCTCTCCAGTTTCCCACTCAGCCTTCTCCTTTTTCCATTATAGTCCTCAACACAGGGCACCATACTTAACCAAGACTTTCTCCCCCAACCCAGAAACAAGCTCCACGTGAGGAGGAATTCTGCATATGGTGGGAAGCGGGGAGATCGGGCAGCTCTGACTTGAGTCTTCAAGTCTGTGGTTTAGCTGCCAGAACTCCTGGGTTCCAGTCCTACCTCCCCTCTTACCATCTGAGAGAACTTGCCATATTACTCAATGCCCACTGAAAATGAGATCCTAGGTATTACATTTCAGAAAGCGTTAAATACCACAGACCAATGGACAAAACTGTAAAGAGGCAACCTGGACTGGGTCTTGTGAGGGGATGGCTTGGGATGGGTGGAACTAGAAGTCATCATTAGGTCTTTTTCCATTCATATAGGGAGGTCTGTTAATAACGAGCCATAAACTTGTTTGGAACCAGAGGCATAGAAACCAAACAATGGCTGAAGGTATTTCTGAGAACACCCAGATCTTTATTATCTTTGTTAATTTGGCAGAAAATGCCTCAGACTGAAATCTCACTGAGGTTTGCTCAGTTCAAATGCAAGTCTTTGCTGCTCCTATGCACATAGCTTTGTGGACCATGGAAATACAGTGATATACACAGTCTTTGAGATTCACATCCAAAGAAATGGAAAGAAAGCAAATTCCAGAACACAAAAACAAAAGTATAAAAACTGTTTAAATATTGAACTGCGCTCCATAACACAAAAGTTCATATCTTGTGGGAAACTTGGAGACTTTTCCACCATGGGGGAGGGGCGGGTGGGTGCTTAGGATGCAACTGTCCCTTTTGACCTCGTTAACATGTTGTGCTCTGAAACATGGTGAGGAAGAAGTTGCAGAAGGAGCTCCAGGAGTCCCCGCAGAACTCCAGGGCAGTCTTCCTCTGGTTCACCACATCTGGGTCCTCCATACACTCTGGACCTTTGACGGCCACAGTCTGAGTCTCTGCTGGGCTGGACTGGATGTTCTCTTTGACCTCATTTGGCTCCAGGGCGGAAGGGCTGGTGACCTCAATATGCTCCTTGGGGGACAGCTCTGTTTTCTCCTTTCTGGGCTTCATGTTTTCATACAGAGTGGAGTTTACCAACTTGAGATTAGATTCTGGAAACTGCTTTTTGCACACCCTGGTCTTCAGGACACTCTTGGAGTTCTCACATAAGTTCTTCTGTTTGCGCAGCGTCCGGACAATTTGTTTCCAATAGGCCTTCTCATTATTGAGCTTGAGGCACTTAGTTGGCTTTCCGGCAAAGACACAAGAAAACTCCTGGTCCATTCGAGTGCACTCCACTTTCAGGGTGATGACCAGCTCCTGCTCAGTCACTGACCATCTGCAGGAAGCTTGATCTTTGGTGGCAAACTTGCCATTGGTCATGGACTTGGATGTTCTGCTTCTCTGCTTACTCTGGCCCTTGCCCAGAGGAACTGATGGATCTCCTTCTGGTATGCTGCCCTGTCTATTCTTTGTTCCATTTCTGACCTTTGCTGAGAGCACTTGAGCAGCCAGGAGGAGAAATGAGAGGAGGGCAAGGCTGTGTATCTTCATGGCTTCAGCTGGGCAGGCACCTGTTGGATGAAAGGCAGGGGCTCAGTGCTGGGCAGCAGTTGAGTGTGCAGGACTGCAGGCTGGCCTCCCTGCACCCTGATCCATGTCTGCCCACTTTAGGAGGAGACCAGAAATCTGTCTGGCTCCTGAAATCACTAGATGAGTAGCCTGTCTGCTCCCACTTCCACTTGACCTGAGCCTTTGAGTGGCAAAATGTTACCATTCTTCATCCCTCACCACTCTCAGAGCCTCCCTGACTCTCCCACTCACTCAGTTACTCCTGCACTTGCCCCACCCTTCAGTCACTCATTCAACAAGTATTAATTGAGCACCAACAATGGGTCATGCACTATCCTAGCTGTTGATCACACCACCCTGACTGAGAAAACCTCGGGTCTTAAAGAGCTCAGAGCCTGCCCTTGGAGAGATTTAAATAGCCTTGACCATGGAGTTGGTCTCATTCTGTTCTCAACTTGATCTTGGACAAGTCACTCTCCCGCTCTGGGTCTCAGGTCCTTTACCTGGAAATCAAGGTGTTGAATGGAATAATCAAACCCTTCCTTAGTTCCAGTGTGTGCTGACTTTCTACCTCACAAGTCTGCACAGACACAGATGGCCACAAAATCAGAAAGGATGTGGCAAGAGCCATAGAAATGTCGTAAAACGTGATGTTGACTCAGAGGCTGAACCTGCTCAGGGTTTGACACATGGAGCTGGGTGGTGCTCTGGGGTAGAGGGAATATTACCGAAGGAAGGAGGATCCCCAGGAAAGGCACGAAGGTGGGAGGTCATTGGACATGACAGGGCAGAGTGAACCCAGGTGGAGAGGTGTGCTTAGACCACAATCTGAAGGCAAGTGTGGTGCCCATTGACTTCTGGAGCCCTGTGGTGGCACAGTGCTGGGCAGACACAAAACCTTTAATCCAGGTGTTTTGAAAAAAAAAATTCCTTGGATCCAGAGGATGACCTTGAATGCTGGACTAAACTCCATGGATTTTATCAGGTGAACAATAAAAGAAAAGAAAAAAAAAGCCACACCTAAAATAATCCCAGGTCTATCTGACACCCACTAAGTGCTAAGCATTGTTCTAGCATTTGATTCTCATCCCGTTTAATCCATACAAGAACCCAGCCCCATTGCTATTAGTATGTCACTCACAGTAACAGCTGTGACAGTTAGGGCTCAGGCAGGTGAAGCGGGCGGTGACAAAGCTGGTGGGGCCGGCCAGACCACATCTCACTTCGTTTCTCCCACCCCTCCTTGGTCACTTCTCACTTTCACCTTCACTCTGATCTTCAGAAAATACTAGCGAGGAATCAGAAAACTATCAACAGTCTGGTTTGGCCACACTGACAAGATTATTCGGATAATCTGTTTTGTGGTTTTTTTTTTTCTTTTTTCACATATTGAATTTTGTTTGAAAAAGGGAAAGCCCCAGGAAGCAGCTACGATCTCATTTGCACCTGGGGGTTTGCCCACCCTCTGCGGTCAGGAAAGGGAGACCATCACCCGAGTCTGGGCTAAAGCCATGAAGCTGCTCAGGGCCCTGGGACTTGGCTCTTACTTGTCCATCAAGGGATCTACACTCAAAAAAGCCAGATCCTCATGTGGGGTGAGAACTGGGGGCAATAGTGAAGTCTTAAGAGGGCCAGGCCCTTACCTTGCTCTGAGTATGCAGATCCAGGGCGACCCCGGTGAGGGAGGGAGCGGTGGCAGGCTGGCAGTCCTCTGAGACGCAGTGCAAGGCAGGGTCGGCTATTTATAGGAGCCCACGCCTGGGTTTTTACAGCACTCAGACTTGAGCAGCTTTGCTCACACTCCTCCCAGCCACGCCCCCTCAGATGGAGCCAGTTCCTACAGGGAAAGTGCTGGGTGGAATCCAGTGAGCAGGGGGTTACACGTGTGCCATTAGACATGCTTCCTGCAGGCCTCTCCCCTTCCACCCAGCAGCCAGGATAGAGGCAGAGCTCAGCCTTGCAAACCTCCTTGATAAGGCGAGCGCCCAACAATGATATCCCAAGGGAATAAATTAACTGTAACTACATTACAGCTGTGAAGCCCTGAGCCCATTCCTAAGAGCCTATTCCTGCTCCTCCTCACCACCACCCAAGGAGGGGGCTCTCGATGCCTCCTCCCATTTCACAGAAGGAGACAGTGGCTCTTGGAAATATCCAAGGGCTTGCCCAAGTTCACCGAGGTAGGAAAGGGGGAGTTCCAAATTTAAACCAGGACTCTCAGCGTCTGTATTCTGTCCTCTTCCCACCTGCCAGTCTCAATAAATACTTGGGGAATACTTGACAGAAGTGGCTGACGCTTCTTGGTTTCTCAGTCGTTTTCACTGAGCCATCTGAAGTTACTGCTTGGGTAGCGGAATCTGTGGGCCCTGAAGCTGGCAAAGAGGGAGTTCTTAATACTGGAATTCCTATTGAAAATATTCCCTTCCAGGTTGCATGAGGGATCCCACTCTGGCCATCCAGCTAGAGGTACAGTTTTACACAAGAATGACCTCTGTGGGGAATGATTTCGGTGAACTGTGTGACTTTATCCGAACTACATGACTTAAACTCCTGTGGATGATCTCAGCACCTCATTTAGGGTGCATACTGATTTTTTTTTTTAAATCACTGGAGCTGAGCTATTAACAAGTGAAACAGAACAGTTTGGGTTCATAATAATTTCTTAAGCTGCGTTCTTTGAAAACAGACATTATATTATCACCTATGAGTTATTTTGAAAATGTTCTTCATTTTAAATTTGTGTGTCTTTTAATTAGATTGGAGTTATGTTATTCTCTTTATCAGAGAGTTTTAAATGATGAATACAACTTTTCTTTTGAGAGTCTAAATGGTATGAACACAATTGATTACCACCGTGGTATCACACCAATTGATAACTGAATGTGTGTCTCATCCGGTGTGGTCACTGGCATGCAATTTCAAGTTCAAGGCTGATTTTACTCTCAGGCTTGTTACTACATATAGTTTCTTGACCTAGAGGGTTGGCCCTGTTGGAGCAGTCACCAGGGATTATATGAGTGGGTGTGCTTGGGTTCTTAGCTGAGTCCTAACCCTGCAATATCACCAGTGAAGGCTGTCAAAAATCAATCCTTTCTTCAAAAGTGTCTTTGTGAACAGACTGAAAATGCTGAGTTGCTGCATTCAAGCAATATTAATTCATTGCATAAAATATTATGCATTGAAAACTTCTCTTGTTAGAGAAAATGGAGATATTGGCTAAAGAAATATCAGTAAAATCTAATCAGTTTGGCAAAAAAGCAAACAAACAAACAAAAAACCCCCCAAAAAACTCATCTTAGACTCACCCTAGAGGGTTTGCTTCCAAATTGAAAGTGCTTATTAGTCATGAGCTTTCGGAATTTCCTGTTCAGCAAATTCAATGTGACACAGTGCTGAAGTTTTACTTCTATAGAAAATTAAGATACAGCAAAATATTGGTATTATAGCTTTGGTTATGAAAGCATAAAAATCTATTAAAATTCATTTACCTTTATAAGAATGATTTTTCAAAACACAAATATATTACCCAGAAATACATCCATAAATATGTACACAGATCAACTTTTTCACCCTTTCTGATTTTTCTGAAATTTTGTTTGTAAGGAAATCATTCTTAAACAGCAAATATCCTTTAAAGAAGTCTGACCCTTTGGATAAAATTTTCACGACACACACACCCCTTCCTGTGTGTGCACACGGATGCCCTCATATGCTTGTGCTTGCACACTGGCATGTGTGCCTACAGGTCTATGCACACGCTATTGTGCACACATGGCACACAACACACACACACACACACACAATTGTGCAATTGCCTTTAGGCCACCTCATGGGACAGAAGAAGGTTCTAGAGAGGCTCCCTTTTCAATTTTCAATAAGCCCATGTGTGTTACAATGAGTTGCCAATTGCCCCACTGGAAATCTGGAAATGTGAGAAGACGAGCACCCTCTTTCTGGGTGGTCAGACTGGGGGTCGCCACGCACCCTGACATCTGACCACGTTGCTTCCATTGCATAAACGGGTGAAAAGGTTTAGTTAAAAACCCCAGAAGACATCTCTGAAAAGTCTCCTATGGGCATCCAGACAGAAGTGTATGAACCCACAGAGCCAAAGGACCCACACATCAGTGTTCTGTTTAGGAGAAGACAGGAAGGCCCAGGGGATAGAACCGTGATTGGTTCTATAAGGAAAAGGACTGGACTCTAACACGAGCTACTCAGTCATTCCTTTATTTGCTAATTCCTTCATTTGTCCAAAGAACCTTCATGAAGCATCTGCTATGACCAGACCTTCTCAGTTACTGGATGGCTGAAAATGCGGTCAAGAGTGACAGTCCTTGTCTTCAAAGAGAAGACAGACAAGGTGGAAATAATAAGTTTATAAATGACAATGCAGGGGTTGGTTGGAATGTTGGAGGGCAGCCTGGGGTGCTATGGGTGGGGACATCATATCCAATCAAAGGGGCAGAGAATAATTTACCAGGAGTCCACAGCTGCAGCGACAGCTTCACGGCAAGGGAAATGGATTGCTATCGATTCAGCCATTGTCCCGTGGCTGCTGTATGTGCAGGGCAGTAGGCAGGCACCAGAAGGAATACCAAGGTGAATATGGCTTGGCTTTTTTTTCACCTGGTCAGTGTAGCCTTCACCATCAGAGGGCTGCTATGGTGGCGTTATCTCATCACTCGGATGTCTTCACATCATGTTAAGGAAATCTGAGGTGACATCATACCCAGTGGTGAGCTTCAGAGCCTGGGATGTGGACTTGGGTGTCCTTTCCATGGTGCCCACTGGAATTGAAGTGGGTCTTAGCATTTCCATGTTTGGCCAAAGCAATGGCTTCCTTGGAGGCCAATCTTCTGGATTGTAAACCAATGAAAGCAGCCAGACCACAAGCAACAAGATCAGCAGTTAAGAGAATGACTGGACTGGCTCTTACCAAGTTTTAGTTTTTGTTTTTGGTGGAAGTCGACGTTCAAATG